TTTTTCAGACTCTCAGGAAAATTCATCGTATGCAGTTCCTGCTAAGGCATCGCAAATAACCCCTACCCTGCTTTTTTCACTTTCTCTTTGGGGAAAGGGTAAATATGGGCCACTTTACACCCTTACTACTACGCGCTTAAGTGCAAAATTTCACATATTAACAATTTTATATTTTTTTTCAATCCCTCTCCTTTCCATCTATACCCAAAAATAACATCAGTCCACCCCATAAACACCCCAAAGAATTTTTAAGAAAAAACCTCTATTTTTAAACTGGAACTACTTGAGTGGTCAATGAAATAGGGGTAAAATTAGTAGTCTGTAACCTATAAAAACTTGTTCAAATGAAATAAAATAAATAATTGTTCAACGTAATTTTATTCAGTTATTTTAAATATATTTAAGAGAGCTTTAAAAAGTTATTTATTCTTTTTCTTACTTGTACGACGATGTGTACCACGGACAGATAATTCAGTTTTTACAAGCGCCAAATTTAAATCACTGAACAGCCATGTCGACAAAGAGCCAAACAGTTAGACTAAGCGCCCTTATAAAACATTATTTTGTTTGAAAAATATATCTTTTTATTGATCACGTATGGTAACATAAAATTGGACATGAAGTTTTACATGCATTTTTTTTGGTTCTTTTCTTCAATTACGTCATATATTCACCTCGGAGTTCACTTCCGGTTTAGTGGCATGGAGTCCAGGATGAGCTGTCAAACTGGAAAAAAGACCATGAACAGCCCGTAGTCGTCAAGCAGATTTGATTTCTTAACTTGAATAAATAGCACAAACACTCCGGATACTGAATTAGTTGCGAGATTTTTCTGACCAAGCCCAGATCTATTTGTTTAGGTGGGTCCCCCCAAAACACGTTGCCATCCTGGGGTTTTTTTAGTTAAGGGTAGGAAAAATTTTTTCCGGATTTTTTTTTTTTTTGATAATAAAAACTTCAGACTCCTGTGGATGCAAAACCCCCTCGATCAATATTCAGTACCTTGCATAAGACATGTACGGGTCGGAATTCACACAACAATCCACTTGCCACAAAGGTCCCAAAATAGTGAGGAAAAAAGAACGATCAATTTCTTTTCACTCTAATGATGGAAGGTATGAAAACATCAGAAGACCACTGTAAGACAGTAAATTCTTATAATTTACATGATGATAGACATGTAAGTGCCGCTTGTGCTCGTGAACCGCGCACACATGTGAGAAATTGACCACAGTGGAAAGCTGAGAGAACTGTGCCGATTTATAGACAGGTCAAAACACCCCCCCCCCCTGAAAGAAGAGAGGGGGGGGGGGATGGATTCCAGTGTTTTAATCTATAGTTTTGCTATGGTGGTAGACATCATCAAAGACATTTTAGGTATACGTACCTCATGTATAAACATATTTTGAATTTCCATTTTGAATTGTTTTCCGTGGCGTTCATTACTTTTCTGGAAGCAATTCTTTTCTTTCCTAATAACACTAAAATGTATGCTCAAACTTAGAAATTGAATTAAATATACATGCAGTACCCCCCACACACACACACCTCCACATCATGCATTGCCTCGAAATGCACAATTGAAAACTGTTATATTTAATAACATTTAAAAATAATCTAACACAAAGTCTACCTTCCTTTTATTCATCATAATCTATATCATTTTTATAGAATTTAACGTGATCTTAGTTGCCATGGTGGCTTTTGTTCATTTACCGGTATGAGATAAACTTTCTCTGATGTCTGCGCCGTAGAGAATTTATTGAAGATCATTGTAATGATCACGATGCAGACTAGCTAAAATTTATTCTATTCTTTATTATTTATTATGTACAGCATTATGTTAGAAATAAGAAAACGATTACAAGAATATAACTTTTCTTACAATGGCATTTAGGGGGGGAGGAACACAACATGATGGATAGATCAAATCATAAACCATTACAAAACAAGAAAGAAACTTTCTGTATTCCAGTGGCTGACACTCAGCTTTTTTAAAAAAGCTAACCTTGTTATAAGTTATTTTGTGTTGTAGTACAAAAAAAGTACGAAAATCTCTCGGAGTCTCTATAAGCATGACTGCATGAAGATGCAATAATGTCGACTTGTCGCGCCTCATTCCTAACCCAAGACGTTTTAGTCAAGCGCAGCTGGTCTAGGTTTAAATTATTATTGATTATGCTGAAATATTTTTAAAAAATGGGTACTCTTTTCCCCAAATCTTATTTATTTTATAAACAATGTATACATGTTTTTTCTCCCGATCCCGTCTCCTCGTCTCCATGGTTACTGTGTAATCAAAGGGAGATCCTCCGAGAATCTTTATTGTCACCAAATCGGAATTAAGCCTAGAATATATTTTAACATAAATAATTACATCGGTAGCAACTACCAGGATGTATATATAAACTGAAAATTATTGTTTTACCCCTTTACAAAACACAAATTGTGTATGTCGTGAAGTCTGCAAAGGCTGGCGTCATAAATGATAGATATATATGATTTACGTTTGGCTGAGTCAAGATACATGCGCACACACAGACCCTAGCCCAAACCAACATGCACACAAAGGTCCTATCCCAAACCAACATGCATTTTCATTCCGCATATATTTTGATAGAACATCGGCGTTGTCACATGACAAAGATTCATGATATTAGCACGTGAAGTTAGTTTCGTTTATTATACCTCTACTGATTTTCCCTATATAAAATAAGTGATTAGATCTGAACAATTCTCTAGAAATCGCTGTGAATCAGCTAATTCTCGTACGTTAGTTTTTTTTAGCTAATCTCTTCGTTGAAAGCTTGTCATGCTAATCCTCGTGCGTTAGTTTTTTGAGCTAATCCCTCCGTCGAAAGCTATTCATGCTAATTCGCGGTTATTCGTAATCCTCTAGATTTTCAATAAATATAAATTGTAATTTTATTAAGTTATGAGGATATTGATTAGTTATATAATCTGTAAAAAAATATTCTTTTCTTTAAAAAGGTGATCGTTAAAATTTAAATTTGTATCGATACAATAAAACAGTTAAAGTATATCGTTGAGGGAGTTAACAAGATTCCTGAGGAACTAGAATCTTGCTCACTCCTTCAATGATATACTTTAACTGTATAATAATTTTAAGACTTCGGAAATCTTTAATCTTGTGTTTTCGTTTTGTTCTTCTTTCTTCAAAGAAAAAGCTAATTTTTGCGGCCGATTTGATGCTTTGCATGCAGGCACGTAGCAACAAGGGGGGGGGGGACACTTTTTTCCCAACATTACCTTTACTATTGAAAATGTTTATTGAAAGGTTGGTTGCCCCCCCCCCCCCCCTTCTTACCATAGGGAAATATAGTATTGTTTGCAAAACAATTGGTAGTGAAAGAAAGTCGACATTGAAAAAAAATTGCTCCCCTCTCCCACGAAATAGGATTTTCGAGTTTAAGCAATTTGGGTAATTTTTTTTTTTTTTTTTTTTTGCCTGTCAACTTTTACAGGTAAGTGAAAAAAAATTTCTCTGGCTGCCCCCCCCCCCCACTTTCAAAAACGATGCTACGTGTATCTTTGCATCAATTTTGTTTATAAGCCAACTATTGTGCCTTCTTTCCTAAATATATATACTGCTCTGTGAGCGTAAGATACATATAGTCGTCAATATTGTCACTATTTTTCGTGTATTACATGTAAAAACTGTGTACATATCAAATGTTCAGGAAATGCCATAAATTAAGGAAGTGCAGCGAAATCTTTAAATGACAATATAATAAATGGTGATCGATTTAAATACAAACAAATCCAGTTTTTAATTAAGCATTTTTTTTAGCTTTATGTTTTCGTTATTAAGGAACACTTGTCTATTCTCTGACAAAATCTCTATTTTCTTAAGTTTGTATGCCGTAGGACCATATAATAACACATTTAAGGATATTAAAATCCGTTTCCATGGCTACCATAGTATATATTTTACTACAAAAAATTCAGTTTAACTCAGATATGATAGATTTACACTTTGTGTTGGTGTTCAACTTAATCTGTCCCTTATTTTCATTTAAAAGGTGTTACATGTATCCACGGTTTGTCTATTCATCCATTATTTATACATATATAACGAATAGTTCTCATTTCTTTGAATTACATAAAAAAAATCCATTTTTTCAGAACTTCTAAAAAAAAAATAGAAACATCGTCCTAAAATATTAAAATTTTGAAGAATGGCCTGTATTGGTGATTTTTTGTTCCATAAACGTATATGTGTTATTTTTATACAAAACGTCAACGTCACGGTGTTGAAGCATATAACGTCAACGTAATGACGTGACAGCACTGATTAAGAAAACAATGCTAAATTGAAACGGCTATAAAAAGAAAACCAGAAAAGATATTTTTTAAAAATAAAATGTTTTACAACATACAAATCTTCGAGTATAACGTCAGGAAGTTTCACTTATTTTGATGATTAGGCGGATTTTTGCACTTCGTGGATTTAGCTCTTTATGAAAAGAAATTACAACTTAGTCAAAAAATTTATTTATTTATTTCAGGTTTTATGGGCACAACTTTGCGTTCTCCATGGTCCCTCTTGGCAATGCTCCAATGCCAGGTCCAGTTACCATTACATACCCAGACAGTGTGGGTCATGTTTCTACAGGAAATAGAACAATGTTACTGCATTGGAATCCAGGTAACAATTTCTTGTTAGCCATTTAGATCATAGTTTATCTTTTTTTTTAGAATTTTGAAAAATTTTCTCAAACTTTGGAAATTGTTGAAACAATAATAGTGTAAGCACTTCAATCAAACATTCAGGGAAGCTTACTTCTAAAATGTATTTCTGTCAAGTTGTGGGATAACCATGCAAAGATTTGTTAATTCTTTTTCAGTTATGCAGTACTGGGAGATTTCCAGCAGGACCTGTAAACATCTCCCTCCAGAAGAACAAGAAGTTTTTGATGCTGTCAAACAAACCATGACTGTCAAGGTAACTCTATATTAAATAGAAAAAGTAATCTTAATAGTATTATCATATTAATAAAGTCTTTTGAAGTTTATTCAAAACTATAATTTCAAGACAAATTAAGTATTACTGTCTATAGTACCATGATAATGTGCATTGTATGAGAAAGGTGTATATCTTTTAAACATTATTTTATCATACACAACACATATATTCTTTAGGTGTGTGATACATATGCAGAAAATAAATATGATAAAACCAGGAGCCGTAGAAGAAAAAGAGCTACAAAGGAGACAAACAGTTACCTTCACAAAGAAACCATGTTTATATTATCTGTAACTAAGGCCTCCATTTACAATTATCCTCCCCTGTTAGACTGCCAAACTGAGGTTAACATCATGGAAGACTCAGGTAGTACTAAGTTTTCAATGAAAAGGATTTTTTTATCATAACTACATGGTTTGATATTTTTTTATTTTCAAGAGAAGCAATTGCTCTTTAGATATACTGAAAATTCATACCTTGATTTAAACAAAACAAGCCATAAATCAGCATCTAATACATTAATTAAGGTCTTCCGTTTCCAACGGAAGACCTTCTACTGATTCTGTTGGTAAAGATTATTATTCTTTTTTTTCTTCTGCTTCCTAGACCGCAACTTTGAGGCCTCGTATCTCGCTCATTTCTCAACGGATTTCGCTCAAATTTTCAGACGTTATAGACGTTAATAAACTCTATCAGAATGATGTCTAAAATTTCAAAAAGCCACTTCCGGTTTTGAGTTATTTCCCTTTAAAGGAAAATTTATAGGCTTTCGTTTCCAGACAAAGGCTCATAGACGGCTAAAGCTGGAGCAGAAATTCTACTGATTTTAGATAATAGAAGGATTGAAGTTGTGCACATCGGTTTTTGTTTTTCGATTTCTGTGTTCAAAATGGCGCTATATAGGGGGTCAAAAATTAGAACGCTTAAAAGAACCAAAAATTACTCATATTTTTCTTTTTATCTTCTAAACTAAAAATATTTTGTTAAAATATATAGAACATAATTTGTGCAGAATTAGAAGATCTTTCAAACGATATGTTGAAAAAAGGGCTGACCCCTAAATTAAGGGACCTAGAGGGGCCAAAAGTTTTTTCCAGATATCTCAAAAAGTATTGAGAATTTGTTATGCATCAAAGAAGCAAAGTTGTTCAAAATATCAAGCTTTATCTAATGCGGTCGTCAAAATACGTCCGGCGACGTCACTTCCGGTCGAACCGGAAGTAGTCAGAAAATGCATATGTTTGCCGTTTTTGTCTCGCCTGCGACGAATGTCGCGAAGCGAGACATAGCGACCATAGATTCCGTCGTCGTCGTCGTCGTCGTCGGCGTCCAACTTTTGGTTAACCCAAATGTCAAAGTTTTATAAACTGCAATAACTTTCTCAAATTTTATTCAGTCTTCTTGAAATTTGGACACAATATTCAGTATGGATAAAAATTTATATCCCAAGTATGATTTTGAAAAAAAAAATTCAAATTTTTCCGTATTTTTTCCTTAAGTTGGACTTAGTTTTTTCATGATAATTTATGGTGAAGACCTATATTCCAGCAACTATAAGTTATAGGGATATGATAATTAGTCAGTGGATACATCATGGGTAACCACAAACGTCAGTACCAGAATTAGGTCATCTTGACCTACATTTTTCTGCATGAGTGACTTTGGTTAAATTTTTGGTGGAGGTCCATATCTCAGCATCTATAACTTATAATGGCATGATGATTTGTCATTGTACAGGTTATAAGTAACCAACAACATCAGTACCAGAATTAGGTCATTTTGACCTACATTTTTCTGCATGAATGACTTTGGTTAAATTGATAATGGAGGTTCATATTTCAGCAACTATAACTTATAGTGGCATGATAGTTAGTCAGTGGATACATCATGGGTAACCACAAACGCCTGTACCAGAATTAGGTCATCTTGACCTACATTTTTCCGCATGAGTGACTTTGCATAAATTTATGGTGGAGGTCCATATCTCAGCAACTATAACTTATAGTGGCATGATAATTTGTCAGTGGATACATCATGGGTAACCACAAACGCCTGTACCAGAATTAGGTCATCTTGACCTACATTTTTCCGCATGAGTGACTTTGCATAAATTTATGGTGGAGGTCCATATCTCAGCAACTATAACTTATAGTGGCATGATAATTTGTCAGTCTACACATCATGGGTAACCAACAATATCAGTACCATAATTAGGTAATCTTCACCTACATTTTCTGCATGAATGACTTGATACATATACAGTGGATTTGATTTCAAAATGCAAGTTCAAATTATTGCGACTCATAACACGTTGCAATATTCGCAATAATAAAAACATCACAATAATTTGTGAATTTACAGGGTATATGTATATATATATAAATGCCAATATAATCGCCAAGGGATTAGATATTAAGTCAGCTGTTCCATTTCTTTATTATTGTATTTTTGAGTTATTCCTTCTGAAATGTCAATAAATGCTTCAGTTTATCAGACAATCATTTCTTACTAACCACAGCGACAGCAGGCGAGACACAGGGTTGCGGGCAACCCTTACGTACTTTTGACAGGTTTTTGGGTAACATGTCTCACTAGAAGCTTAAATATTAATTTTCCGTCCATCGTCGTCACTTCCGGTCAAACCGGAAGTACCAAAAAATGGCTTAATTTTGCTATACTTAACATAGATTTGGAGGATTAACCCATTTTCGGACTTCATTACTCTTTTTTTTAAATAAAAGTTGCTTCCGGTCACGAGCTCGGCTCTAGTTTAATCTAAATTCTTTTGATTTGGTGTAATAACAATTCTGATTCAAATCTTATTGATTTGGTGTGAGATAATTACTATGGTCAATCAACAAAGAATATTCTTACAGAAAAGTTGATAAAAATTTACAGGAACTTTACACTACCAGTTATCAGCACTAGATGAAGAGGGAGATCCAATCATCTTTAATCTCTTAAACCAATCCGTAAAAGGACAGCTCTCTTTGTCAAGTGATGGGTTGTAAGTGTTTTTAACCCTACCTAAGAGAAATTACTATTTGGATAAAATGTGTAAGTTGTTAATTCCCAGATGCAAAAATACCTAGATTTCTAAGTTTCCCATAGTGCGTGGTTTTTTATGCACTTTAAGTATTCTGCAACAAATATTTATGGTATATTTGACGATCATGCCTGTAAATAGCATAAATTTGTAACGGGAGAGGAGAAAATGCAGCGGACCAGACCGGGATTCGAACCCGGGCCCCCTGAAACTCCGGTCAGGTGCTCTACCAACTGAGCTATCTGGCCACCGGCGATCGAACCCGGCTGACCGCCACATTCCTCCCTCCTTAAAGGTCTTTGGCCCTCCAAAGACCCTAACCCAGGCTCATCCCTGGCAGGCCTCTCACCTATCAATTCCAGGGCATGGCACGGCACCAAATGTAACGGAAGAGGAGAAAATGCAGTGGACCAGACCAGGATTCGAACCCGGGCCCCCTGAAACTCCGGTCAGGTGCTCTACCAACTGAGCTATCTGGCCACCGGCGATCGAACCCGGCTGACCGCCACAAATTAAACCCATGCTGAAAAAGCTAAGGTTCATTGACTGATGTATTACTAGTTGTTTTTTTCATGGTTTTCTTGCAGCTTGGTCTATACTCCATGTTTGGACAGTTCTGGTAATGAAACAATAGGCATAATGCTTACAGAGAATCAGACCAACCCAGAAATTCCAGCAGCCAGTACAAAGATAGCCATCAACATCCACATCCAGTCCATCAACGATCCTCCGTCTGTGTTCTTGACAGTGAATGGTTCATCACTGCTGAACAAAGATCCAACAGAGGATGTTGTTGTATGTCTCATTATTTACTACACATACAAGTTTATAATTATACTAAATTGTGGCAAGGATTAACATCCATTTTTTCAATTTTGTCAAAGGGTTAGTCTCTCATTCCTTATTATGTTCCCCAAACGAAGTTTGGGAACATATTGTTTTTACTTTTTCTGAATTTTTTCTTTGTTCTCCGGTACTTTTTTGTCCGCGAGTGTTCTCGTAAACTACTCATCCGATCTAGGTGAAACCTTTTTAGGGTCACTAGGTATGTTATGTAGATGTGCGGAACGAAGGTCATTTTGCGCGCACGTGCGTGCATGTGCGCGCACGTGTAACACGTTAAATGACCAATATGATAGATTTAGCCGTAACTTTTTAAATATTGGATGAAATGCTTTGAAACTCATAATATAAGGATATAATAGTAGTATAGACATGATGACATGGTCAAAATACAAGATCTCACGCGCATGCAGGTGCCCTTCGCTGCAATTGGCTGAAACTAAAAGTCTAAATATCTATTTTGTTTTCTGACAAAATCCTTTGAAATTTTGAACATAGTCTTACATTATGAAGATCTACAGCATGATTTATAAGAATAATCATGAACGCACGCACATGCACGTGTGCTGCAATCTGATTGGCTAAAACTTTAAATGCCTACAACTTTCTTGGTTCTCAATAATACAGGGTGAAATTTCAAATATGAATAGATATAATGATTGCCTACATTATACTACTATCAAAAGTAAATGCATGGACGTGCATGCACATGCGACCGCACACAATGTATTAAAAGACAGTATACTTGAGTGTTTGATGTTCATGCAGAATTAGGAACTTCTAAATGTCAAGACATGTAACATACTGAAGCATGCAGATCTTTTTACCCTTGACCTTGAAACTTAGGTCAAGGTCACTGGTAACCTGAATAAAATGTTGATATTAGCTATTTACCAAAATCACCTTGACCTATGAACTTGAAATCGACCTTAACCTTTGTCCTTGACCCAAGGGTAAAAAGAAACATGAAGTACATGTACATGTATCTAGAAACACCTTTCAGAGTTTATTTCGGTTGACAGGTTAGAAGTTAAAGAGGTGGTGGTTTTTAATGACCTTGACCTTTCATCCAAATGTCACAATCAATCTTAAGTTCTTGGAATAAGACACAAGATTCAACTCCAACGTGAAATAGGTTAAGAATAAAAATAAACCCCCAACCCCCCCCCCCCCCCCTCCCACACACACACACACACAAATCAAATTAAAGGCAACGTAGAGAATCACTGTTAAACTCAAATAACACCTCGGACCCACATAAAATTTCAGGAAAACTGCAGAAAAGAGCTCGAGGAAAGTGTATTAAAATATTTCATTTGAGTTTCCAAAGTATATAGAAATTATTAATTTATATAGAAAAAATTACAAATCCTGTCGTGTTTAAAATTAAAGTGCAGATGACCAAAGTTGGCATATAAGCCTTTTATAGCCTATTTATTCAAATGTCGTTAATAGCATTCAATTCTACTGATTTGAAATAATATTTTAATACCAAGCATCCTTTGTTTAATTTACCTTTGAAATTTATTTGAATTTTTTTTAGAATTACGCCATCCCCAGAAATAGCGATTTTCGGTATATTAAAAATCAATATACATGTACGCTCCGTCGTAAAATAATCAGACATTTGCATTCATGAAAAAAATATTAATAAGAAGGTGTTAAACAATATTGGTCACATTAGCTGACACGAATGTCTTTTTAAACATCTCTTGTAAAACCCAGAGAGTAGCCCCCTATGCATTGGAAAAAGTGAATAGTTCCGGTCAAAAACCTTTATATATTTATTTACAAAGTATATAAAATTTACCAGGCACAGGTATCAGAGTTGTCAAAATGGCCTGAGCGGAAATATTTTAAAAAAATTCTGAACAGAAAGGAAAATCCCTTTTCCATGTATGGAACTACTATTGAATAAGTTCATTTTGATTGGTTAGGTATTGGCGCGATACCCTTAGTCGACTTTAACCCTGCCTTGGTGTTGGAATAAAACCAACTTTGAGCCCGAGGTTAACATAAGTAGAGAAATACAATGTGAATCGATATATTAAAAAAAATGACATATATGCTTGAAAAATGGTAAAGAGCAAGAGCCATCTTATACATAAAATGGCCCTGTACTTATATCAATTAATTAACTATCCCCCTCTTTCCATTTTCTTACATCAAAATAAAGTAGACACTTTGTGCTTTCATGTTCTATAATGAAATTTCGTTTTGAGAATCCAAATATTTGAAAACAGGCTTTTAGAAATTGCAATGTTCTTGAAATTTGCAGAAAATATGCGTATTTGACTACCTTCAGCAAAGAATAAAAATATGAGCACAGCCCACGATCCAAAAAATAACACATGTTTTTTGATCTTCAGATATAGGTCTTTCATTATGTATTGGCATATTTTGGATCAGAGGTTGTGCTCTATATGAAATATTGAAAAAACACTTCAATTTTAGGTCATTTTCAAAGGAATTTATAGAACATGATAAAAATGACGCATTTTATGACGTCATAATGCATTGACTAAATGTGAAATTACGTCACAATTAATAGATACGTGTTCACCAACAGTCCAAGTGATAAATACTGCATTTGCAACCTAAACTGGGCGGTTTTGAATTTTCAGAAATTCTCAGGGCCAAATAAGGCCCAACATGGCTCTACCTCTTTATATATGTATTTTTTTCTTTGATTCGCGGGATAGAAATATATGTTAGTCGCTTAATCAACATGCCATAATCATCTTGCATATGCATGTACATGTACGTGTGCGCGCATGCAAAACCTTAAACGATATATAGTTGATAGTTGATATCATTGTAACTTTTATATTCTTAAATGAAATCCTGGGATACTTATAATTATATAATATATATAAATTAGTTTATCATGCGCTTGAATGGGGATCCGAACAGGTATTATGTTCAGCTAAACTGCTAAACCTTTTTTCAACTCCCATTGAAAGAGAAAGGATCCATCATCAGTAATATCAATTGAAGGTGGTTGAAGTAACCAATTGACATCGATATTATCCATATAAGCTATTATTTCTAATTTGTTTCACATACACGTGGCTTCCTAGCTCGAATTTCCTCGACCGCAGTTACACAATATGTCGAATACAACGGAAGATTTCGAGTGTCTTAAAGACCTATCGACTGTTGACGTATCAATAACAAACCTTTACAATGAATACCCAGAGAATTGTATTCCTAACAAACTCCGCCCGCCCACGGGGTGCAAAGCAAGACAGGCGGCATACGAAGAAATAAACCCACACCTCTATGAAGAACAAGCCAAGATGGTAGCATTTCGAACAAAACGGGAACGTGTATTCGCCTGGATTAGAGCTCTACAAATTATATACTTAGAAAAGCTGAAAATGTGTAACTCTGTAGAAGTCAAATGGTATAACAATCCAGAAAAGTGGGATACTACCAACAATACCCTAACAAACCATTCTATTTGCATAGACATTGGGGATGATACTAGTCTACACTACAAGATAACATTTTTTGTGTCAACTGGCACTATTCAGGTCCAGGGAAATGGAAAAGATGCATTCGTGACCAAAATCTTCCCACTGCTGAAAGAATTAGTGAATAGAATTACTGCGTCGACCGAAGGAGAGGAAACCACCCTTAAATCTGTAACTGAAAGTCCGCAAAGCCAGAACTCTGTGAGTTATTTGAACCAGGAACAATTGCTAAATGGTGAACATAGCCAAATTGTTTCAGCTTCTGTGCATGACCTGGATAGATTTCAAGAAAGTATGGTCCTAGCTTTAGAGGAAATGAGCAAATCTCACACTGGACTCATGAAAACCTTAGAATCAAGATTCTTAAAAGGTTTGGAATCACTTCAAAGTACAGTTAGTACTCTTTCTTTAGCCGTTGAAAACTTGAACAGCCAGTACAGTAAAATGTCAACAACACCAAATAAATCAAAAAGTCCTGAAAATGAAATTAACTCAATAAAAAACAAGCTTAAGAAATCAGATGAAATCAAGAATGAACCTCAAGTTAAAATCGCAAATCAACAACTTGAATTAGAAACTAAAGAAGCCCAACTGAAGAATGAAAAAATCATGCACAATACATGCAAACACCAACTCCTTGACTTGTTGGAAGCAAACAAATCAGAAAGCTCAACATTAGTGGAAAAACTAAAAACAAAAAATGAAGAGTTACTCAACATGGAAAATGAAAACAAAATCCTCAAAGAAAAAAACGAGGCACCTTTTAAAGAGATTCTTGGTTTGAAAATGCATGTTTCGAGTATGGAATCTAACAGTGAGAAATTTACATGTGTAGGAGAAAAGAAAGTTGAAGAAAATCACTCTTCACCATATGAGCCTCATAAGGGATATAAGACTTCTCCCAAGACAAAACCCCCTAAACCCAAAGTCCTGTTAGTGGGGACATCTAACACTAAGAAGATTAATCCAGACATTCTTAGTTCATCATTCATAACAACAAAGAAACTTGCATACACAATTGATGAAACCAAGGATACCATAGTAAGATATGAGGATGCAGCACCAGATGTTGTCGTTCTTCATCACCTCACCAATGATGTAAAGGCAAAAAGTCCTGAGACTTGTGTTAACGAGACGGAAGAAATCATCAACATCATCACTCAAAAATGGTCAGCCAAAGTGGTTCTGTCACTATGTACTCCTCGTAAAGACGACGAATTACACAGTGCAAATAGTGCTCTAATCAACGCCCTACTAAAGAAGAAATACAAAAGTGACTCAGTCGTTTATATCAGTGAAAACATAAACATGTCTAATAGGCCTGCCAAGGTCCTTGAAAGGGACAATGTTCATCTTACACAAGATGGTGTTGCCATGTTAGCATCCAATATCAAAAGATCAATCCTTCTAGCTTTAGGAATCGAGCAGGCTCCATTGCAGATGGGAAAAGACCAAGACCCTGACTATCACCGTGCTTCACCAAATAAGTTGTACAAATACCAGCGAAAGTGGCGAAACTACCAGTACGCACCATCCGAACCATGGGAAGGGAGACCTTACCATCCTGCCAGCTATGGCTTTAACTACAATTACTAAATTTTCTTTTTTATCATCATATCAGATGTTACTTATCAATTACACTGATGATATATATAAACAATGCCATTCTTTTAACGGGTATTTCAATGTATGAATTTCATTCTCGAATATTGTACCACTTCCACTTATCGGTGCACCTGTACTCATGAATGTCATGTTTATTTGCAACTGATTTATTATTTTTTTCTTCTCACATATTGTTACTACTAGATTATACATTGTATTAGATGTTTTGAAGGATGTTGTACCTTTTCTCTTGATTTGGGTTTGAAAATTTGGTATTTTTTCTTAGAATGTATCAGATGTACAGAAAAACAAATGTTAAATGTGCTTTTTGGAATATTGGAGGATTGATATCAAAAGGTATGAACAAAATGGATGACGAGCTTTTTCTATCAAAAATTATAGATAAAGATTTAGTATTTCTTGTGGAAACACACATTGGACCAGATACAGTTGTATTACATGATGATTTTTACTGCCACACAATTTGTAAAAATATATCTAAAAATGGCAGATACTTTGGAGGGATATCAATATTAATTAAGCATGAGATTAAAGATCATGTTTCTGTAATTAAAAATACATGTAGTGAGTATCAATGGATCAAATTAGAAAAAACTTTTTTTAATTTTGATAAAGATTTGTATATATGTACTGTTTACAACCCCCCTGAGGGATCACCTGCAATAACACGAAATAATGTTAATATTCTGGAACTCGTACAGAAGGATATTAATCAATATAAAGATTTAGGAAATATAATGCTTTGTGGAGATTTTAATGCTAGAACTGGAAATGCAACTGATTATATACTAGATGATAACAACCAATATTTACCCTTATTTGAAACATATAAAATTGATAATGATATTTTCAAAAGAGTTAATAGTGACACTTGTGTGGATAAGAGAGGAAAAGAACTAATAGATTTTTGTATTGGAAACCAACTTCGTATTATGAACGGAAGATGTTTTGGTGACATTTTTGGAAATTTCACTTGCCATAATTATCATGGAAGTAGTGTTGTTGATTATCTTTTAACTGATGAAGAAATTGTACAACGTATTTTGTTTTTTGAAGTATCAGATTTTATTTCCACATTATCTGACTGCCACTGTATGTTATCATGGAATATTTTTTCTCAACATGATTCTTCTAGAGAAAATAGTATAGATAATGATAATTACAAGACCCATTCATCCTTTAAGTGGGGGGAAGACTCTGCTATTAAATTTATAGAGGCATTACAATCCCCCAAAATAAAATGCAATCTTGATAACACCATGAGCATCAATGACATAGAATCTATAGAATCGACAATAAATAGATTAAAAGATTCCCTGGAAGCTGCAGCCATTATGTCATTAAAACCAAACTTACCTAAAAATAAAACATGTAAAAGTAATAAAAGCTCTGCTAAACATAAAAAGAAATGGTTTGATAACGAGTTGATAAATATGCGCTCAAAACTAGTTAGGAAGGGAACTTTATTTGGCCACTACCCCAGAGATATCAATATTAAGAATCAATATTACAAAGCATATAGAATATATAACAAACTACGAAAACAAAAATTTAGAACATACCATTCTAATATTATCAACAACCTAAATGCTTTAAATTCAACTGATCCAAAAAAATATTGGAAACTTATAGGCGAATTAAGAACTGGAAATACAAAGACAATTGATACATCAATCTCTAATAATGAGTGGTTAAACCACTTCAAAAAATTGAATAAAACTCATGAGGATTTCCTCGATCGAGATCAGTTTCTTAAAGACCAACTAAAACAAGCTGAGAAAACAACAACACCCATATTTAATGAACTTGACTACAAAATATCTTTCAATGAAATAAGTAAAGCAATAGGTAAACTAAAAAATGGTAAGGCAGCTGGTACTGATAGAATATGCAATGAAATGCTTAAACATGGTCAAACGGTCTTGGTACCAATATTACTGAAAATCTTTAATGGTTGCTTAACTCATGGATATTATCCTTCTTCATGGTGTGAAGGATACATTACTCCAGTATACAAATCTAACAACACTAATGATCCCAACAATTATAGAGGAATCACAATAACCAGCTCAATTGGCAAACTCTTTAACTATATTCTTAACTCAAGATTAGATAAATATTTAAAATGCAATGATAAAATCAATCCTTGTCAAATAGGATTTACAAAACAAGCTAGAACTTCAGATCATGTTTTTGTCTTGAAAACACTTGTTGAAAAATACTGCAAATCAAAACAAGGGAAGCTATATGCTTGCTTTGTTGACTTTCATAAGGCCTTCGATAGTATAAACCATGCTGGTCTGAAGCTTAAACTACTAAAAGCTGGTATTAGCACTAAATTTTACTCAATTGTTAAGGATATGTATTCTAAAAGCTATTCTTCTATTAAACTGGGTAACAAATTAATTGGTCACTTCCGTACTTACAATGGGGTTAGACAAGGTGATAACATGAGCCCAAACCTATTCAAGATTTATCTCAATGATCTATCAAATTATCTGTCAAATTCTAAAAGTTTTGTAAAATTAAACAATGATTCATCTATGTCCATTCATTGCCTAATGTATGCTGATGACATGGTACTTCTCTCCCCAACTGCTGAAGGTCTACAAGAAAAACTCGATATACTAAGTACATACTGTAAGGACTGGTGTCTCAAAGTTAATACAAAGAAAACAAAAATTATAGTCTTCAATTCATCTGGTAAACACGTTAAAATTCCCTTCCATCTGGATAACAACAATATTGAATGTGTTAAACAATACAAGTATCTGGGTCTGACTGTTAATGCATCTGGAACACTAAGTAATGCTAAAAATGATTGTTGTAACAAAGCCAAAAAAGCCTATTTCAAACTTCAAAAAGACTTTCTCACATTTATTCCATCAATTAGAACTGCTTTAAATGTATTTGACCACACTATTAAACCCATTATCCTGTATGGTTCAGAGTTATGGGTTTTTTTTGACCCAACAACCTCTAAATTTAAGAGAAATCCAAATATAACACTAGACAAAATATACCAAAGCTTAGAAGGCGAAATTCTAAATCTTAAATTTTACAAACATTTACTAATGGTTCATGGTAAAAGCAGCAATTTTGCTGTAAGATCCGAGCTAGGACGTTTGAATTTACATTTTGATGTCATTAAAAATATGTTGTTATACTGGCATAGATTAGAGAATCTAGATGGTGAATTTCCCTTGCTTAGTGAGGCTTTTAACTGCTCTAAAACACTACACCAAAATGGTTTTACTTCATGGTATTCTTGTGTTAACTTCTTACTTAACCATATTGACATTAAAATTAGTGATTTCCTAGGTATGTCAACCCCACAATTTAAAATCAATTTGAAAAGAATATTACTGAATTTCTATAAATTAACATGGGAAAAAGACAGGAATTTACATAAAGATGGCAAATTGTCTACCTTTACCAGCATAAAGACTAAATTTTGTTTTGAACCTTATCTAGATATTCTTACAAACAATCAACATAGATCAGTTTTAACAAAGTTAAGAATTTCGGCTCACAGGCTTAAAATTGAAATTGGACGTTATCAAAAAATACCTAGAGAGGAACGAATTTGTTCACTTTGTCATCACAACGAGATTCAGGATGAAATTCATTTTCCCCTTGTATGTCCTCATCTTAATGTACAAAGACTTGAACTCATAAATATTTGTAAACTTAAATGTAAAAATTTTCAGTCTCTATCTTATGATAATCAATTTTATTGGCTCATGACTAATGAAGACCCAGACATCCTTAGATCACTTGCTGGATTCCTTAGTAATTTACCTTAATTGAAGATATTGTGATAAGCATAAAAAAAAAAATTATTATATACCTCTTTCCCAGTTTCTTGCCTTTAACTATATATATATATGTATAAATTATATATATTTGTATGTAACTTAGAATACGATACATGTATGTATATTCAGTATATCTCTTATATACTTTTTTTGGTTTTTTTTTTTTAACAATTGCTCTTTATATGTAATATCATCATCATGCTTGTTCTATCATTTGGATCCTCCTCCTTCTATTTGTAAATCTTTTTGCTCCTCCGGGGGCCCAAATTGGATTAATAAAATCTTGTATCTTGTATCTTAAATTATATTTATAAAAGGTCTTAGAGGAATAAGGCACGATAAGGGACATGGGGAGCGTTTGGGGAACATATGTAACGGTCCCCGTTACAATTAGCACTAGTTACGATTGAAACTCGTATTGGTCTGTAATACATTATTGAAATCAGGCATGAAAAATAAAGCACAATATCTGCAAAAAGAAAGTCTGAAAAAATAATGGTGTATGAGAGAATACTGGACACAAGTCAATTTTGTTAGGAAGGAGTTTTTGAAGAAAGAGTTTTTATTTCCATGTTTTTTTTCTCTCTTGTAGATTTTACTTGAAGCTGTGAATGACTTCATTTCCAATGAAACAAGGCACTGGAAGGCCAGACTTGGTGCTTATGATGTTGAAAAAACTGATACACTGAAATTTGTCATGTCTAATCCCCTCAATCTAAACATATCAATAACTGAAGAAAGTAATCAAGTGCCACAACTCTTGAAATATTGCAATATTTCTGACAAACTTTGGGTAAGTCTGATTTTTAGCTCTACTGGTCAGAGACCAGAAGAGCTTATGCGATAGTAATGCGTCCGTCGTCCGTCCGTCCGTCTGTCTGTCCGTCTGTCTGTCTGTCTGTAAACAATTTTTCAAAATGCTACTTTTCCTACAGTTTTGGTCTGATTTCAATATAACTTGGCACAAAAGTAGACTACACTAAGATACATAATTCTGTGCATCGGTTTTAAATTTCGATGAACGGTGTTGCCGTGGTTACTAAAAATAGAAATTTCTGTGAAATTCTTTCAAAATGCTACTCCTCCTACAGTTTTGGTCTGATTTCAATATAACTTGGCATACAAGTAGACTACACTTAGATACACAATTTTGTGTATCGGTTTTTGATTTCGATGAACGGTGTTGCCGTTGTTACTAAAAATAGAAATTTATATGAAATTCTTTCAAAATGCTACTCCTCCTACAGTTTTGGTCTGATTTCAATATAATTTGGCATACAAGTAGATTACACTAAGATACATAATTTTGTGTATCAGTTTTTAATTTCAATTAACGGTGTTGCCGGTTACTAAAAATAGAAATTTCTGTGAAATTCTTTCAAAATGCTACTCCACCTATGGTTTTGGTCTGATTTCAATATAACTTGGCACACAAGTAGACTAAACTAAGATACATGATTCTGTATATTGGTTTTTGATTTCAATTAACGGTGTTACCGTTGTAACTAAAAATAGAAATTTCTGTGAAATTCTTTCAAAATGCTACTACTCCTACAGTTTTGGTCTGATTTCAATATAACTTGGCACACAAGTAGACTACACTTAGATACACAATTCTGTATATCGGTTTTTGATTTCGATTAACAGTGTTGCTGTTGTTACTAAAAATAGAAATTTCTGTTAAAAACTCTCAAAATGCTACTCCTCCTGCAGTTTATGTCTGATTATAATATAATGTGGCATGCAAGTAGACTATACTAAGAACATAAAGAGACTTAATCGGTAAAGTTTCAATTCCCGACTGCTTAAGAATTTTTCTCTTCCTTTGATATAAGTACAAACCAGTAGAGCTTCAGTCTCGACAGAGACTTCTGGTTTTTATTTAGAATAAACATACAAGTCTTCTGACCCTTGTAGCTATTTGTGTATGACTTCTTTCTGATTCATCTCTTTTGCAGCCCGCAATGATGCCTTGTGCAGAAAACTTCAGTGACAGTCTCCCACACGCAGCTTCTGATTTGACCTGGTTGACATATGTTGTCCAGTTTACACAGCCCAGGAATCAGTTTGGCAATTACACTTTTAGTTTCTATTTTGAGGACAGCTCTAATGGAACTTCTTCTCCTGTGAACATTAAATTTGGTATAATGGAGATGCCTTGTCACAACAGTGGAACTTGTCAAGGTTTGTCTTGCCTGTATACACCTGAGAAGTGTGACTAAAGCTTTGCATGAAATGTGTTCAGCTTTTAGAAATTGTTGAGAATAAGATATATTTAGGTTCTTTAACTTTATATAAAAAGAAATATTTATAAAAAATCATGCTGAACTTTTCCACAGGCCTTATGCTGCTGATTTTCAGTTTCTTTGCAGTTGAGTTTAGACTACAGCAAGTTTAATTAATTCCATTTATTCTAGCTAAAGGAATCTACCCCTGTAATGATACCCACAGGACCCACAGCTTTGAGGCCTACTACAGATGTCAGTGTACCGGAGGATACCAGAGTAGATACTGTACAGAGGACATCAATGAGTGTCTCAGTGACCCGTGTGAACCTCCCTTTGTCTGTTACAACAATCAGAACAGCTACCACTGTGCCTGTCCCCCAGAAAACCCCAACTGTGAAATAGTTATATGGATGGTAGTCGTCAGTGTGTTCATAGTGGTCATCATCCTGGTACTGATAGGAATAGCTGTCTACAGATACAGGACGCAAAGAGGGTAACAGATAACAATTAAATAAGATGTCAAATATATAGATTATCCTGACAAATTTTTTTGTTTGTTCAACTGTAAAAATTTGTTTTATGTTTGGAACTTAACCAGCTGGGTTAGAGTATATTAAACTGATGATTATGAGCTCAGAAAAATTTAAAATTTATATGAAAGATTTCTGATTTTCTTCCTTTGACAATTTCAGCAAGGAGTATCTTCTAAGGTGAGTACATGTATCATAATCAAATGTAGCAATTTAAAACAAAAAAAATATGGCATTTTTTTTAACTTGGATCACTCAATTATGCGAAATATAAACTTTTTTTTTAAATTAAAATATAAACATACCTTTTCTTCTTTCTTTCTCTTTAAAATTTAAAGATAAAATTAGCATATATGCATGATACTTCTTGTACTGATTACTGTTAGTTTTCTGGTTTTATTGTAGAAGAAACACTTCAACAACATCGATTCCATCTCAACTAGACTTCACAGACTCACATCAGGAACATGTAAGTTTGGTTTTGTGACAACTGTCCATTCCAAATTTTATTTATTGATCAGAATAAATGTATTATTGTTGTTTTCATTCTTTTAAAACAATTTTTAATGAAGCATTTTCAAAATATGTTATTGATATACATGTATGTTGTTGTTAATTATGATGCAGTTAGAACAAATGAAGAGTTTTTCTAAATAATTTGGAATGGTCACAAATTATGATCAGTGGGCAGTTGATTTTAATTTACATGTGAGGAATTTTACTATATTCCTCGACTGATAAACACTGGCACAGAATGTACCTAAAAAAGCAACAACAAAAAACTTTTTTTCTTATGCTTTTTCAATCATACAGTACATAAAAAAATCAGAAATTAAAGATCTCAGCACTAGTATATTGAAGTAGGTCAACATTAGAATAGATATTAACTAATAATCAAGCATCATAGCAAAACAATTTTGCTGACTTGTGTTTTGTGTGTATTCATTTAAGATTCAGTTGTGAATTTCTATTTGCATTTAAGGACCACAACTATCCAGAAGAGGGGGAGGACTTTTTTAACATGAAGCCTCGTTATCTTGTAAGAAAAGAAATTATATTTTAATACATTTTTTTTTGTTGCTTGAAAAGCAGATTTATTTCTGTTGGCATCGATTTAAAACTCCGTTTTTACAATACAGGACCAAGAAAAGACTATTCCTTGGGCATTTCTTCAAAGCAAAAGTAATTCCCAGCCCTTTGTTGAAGATGAATATGACAATGAGGATTTTTCTGAAGATGATGATGATGATGATTTACCATGTGATGAAGATGATTACAATGAATCTTTTGACATGGAACATGATGATGATGATCAGTCGTTCATACATCCTCCACCAGTAAGTAAAAACAAGTCTTGAAGATACAAGATTTCCATCACTACCTTGCACCAAGACCACATTGCCTTTTTCATTTAAAAAAGAATTTAAAATTCCATGATATAAAGAGATGAAATTCATGCTTGGCACAAAGACGGCATATAATTCAAGGTTATGCTATAATGTACAGTTACTGTGAAGCAAATTTTTGAATACTATGAATATTTGAAGGATTGACTTTCAAATCAAATTACTTTTGAATATGAATGTATTGAAAATTTGTTTGTAAGATGTGTAAATCATTATTTTTTAACCTCTATGGAACACATAATCAGTTTGCTTTATCCTTAAATTCTTTAATATATAAGATGAGATTTTATCATAAACATAATATTTCCCCAGGGTTTTTAAAAATTTTGTCAAGAATTCAAAAAACTTTATCCATATTCGGTATTATAATAGGCCCTAGGATCAACTCCACATGATAAATTCCTAAATGTAGTGAGGAAAGTCTTTAAACTATGCTCTTTGCTCTTTTTGATTACTAGTATTCAATTGAGGCAAATTAGGTAAAAATTAGGTAAAAGTGTGCTATATGTATTTCAGAATTTGAGCTATCCGTCATTCATTGAAATGCAGAACTTGAAATATTACCAGCGCCATAGAAAAACAACATTTGAACCACTGGTACCAACAGCATCTGATCAAGACCAGCCTTTAACCACAACAGAGAGGAGACATTCTTTGAGAAATAGAAGAGTGAGTCCAAGTCCACATTCGGTATCTACTATTGTATCAGCTGGTCCACATAAAAGAAAATACATCAATGAATCTGTCCAATGTTTACAAGACATCCAAGATGAAAAGGATACTAGCAATGATGAAACGAATGAAATGTCACCAACTCCCAAGAAAGATTCGATGGATAATGGCATAGTGATTGATCCAGACCACCTTACACCCAAACCTGCATGGAGTACAACATTGGATACCAGTGAAGAACAATCAGAGGTCTGAAAATAGAGGATTGTAACTTGTGACCATGACAGGATTTTACAATTCTTGTGTTTATATATGACTGATCACATATTCTGTTGATATAATTCTTTGATACATGTACATAGTTAAATGTTTTTTTATTTTTTTTGTTTTGAAGACATTTTCTCTTAAAACTAAAAAATTTATAGTTGTTCAGTTATGTTACTTACATTTGAGTTATATTTATACTCTATATGGTATTGCTCTTTCTTTTAATTCTTTTCTCTTTTTTTTTGTATGCGGTTTTTCGGCCTTGCAAGATTAAACTTTCTTACAAATTGGTTGTTTGTTTTTCATAATTTAGATTAACATATTAATTGCATACATTTAACTTTCTTTGGGCCTGATGTGCGATCAAAACTTGATTTTCAAATAAGGCTAAGACTAAATAGTGGGGCTTAATTGATCTGCATAAAAAGGCCTCTTGCACCTCATCACAAAATGTAATGGCACTGTCACACTATAAATGCAAGCATCTTGGCCATTATGGACTATATCACCATGTCTGATATGGTCTCAACGGTACATCTAATATTTCTAGACAGAAAAGATTCCTATTCACGTTTGCTCTACTTTCCAAGTCTATTAAACAAGATTTTTATCCTTTCTTATTCTCAGATTTTCAATCTTCCCAGATGATATCTGACATCTTGTCCCTGCCCCCCCCCCCCCCTCCCCCGCCTTCTTTTTCTTATTCTGCCCTTTACCAAATCATCCAGTTCCTTATATTTGGACTTCATCATGTCTCCATCAGTATTGGTCTTGTGTAAGTGCTACCAAACATGATGTGTACAATAGCTAGTATTTTCAGTGCTAATGAGTCCTCACTGTTGTAGATTAGTACATATGTATGTGAGATAGTGTATCGTACATCAGTCGCACTGAAATGCTATTCTGAATTAGTCTATCTTCCATATAGCTGTAACATTAGCTTGTAGCTCTCTGAATCCGAACAGACGAACCAGTTTGTTTTCACAAAATTTCTCTTCCATATATCTGTGGGATGATAGCTCTGTTTGAATTCGAACAGACAAACCAATTTGTGTTTATGAAATACTCGTATCTGGCTTACTTGTCCGAGAGTTACAGTTCTGCAGCTTTCTTCTATAGGTCTGATCTATAAAGTTGTGTTCTTATGGAGATCTGCCCATAAACTGACATCAACTATTTAATCACCTTTCCTGGAACAGTTTTACTCCTCCTTTTCTTGTCAATCTTAGTCTATTGTTGGAAATTTGACACATCAATCCCTTCTTTGCCCTTTCACGTATTGCAAAATATGTCCCGCAATTCCAGGTTGCTCTCTTTGGTTTACTGCTGTAATTGTCGACCTCTTGTGTACTGACCTTGTCTCAAGCATGATAAACCTTTTAATTTGATCTTATGAGTCTCATAAGGTCACCACTTGTTTACATGTAGACCTTTGAACTCTTTAACAACTAGTGATAGTTGTAATAGGAGCGGGAATGTATTGCATTGCTGCAAGAGTCCAATTGGATTGAAGTTTGATGGAACTCCTAACATCTTGCATACCGGTACATGTAGCTGCTGACTGCTTATCCAAGCTTTACGAATGTTATCTCAAGATTCACAAGAAAACATTGATGTAACCATCAAATGTCGCCCGGGAAATATATAAAGTAAACAATGAAAATGAGTCTTGATCAACAAACTACTTCGATTGTGTTAAAAGGCATGCGTCTAATTGATGGAGACGATAGTCGCAAATAATTTGAAAACTTGTAGTCGGATAAAAATCAATCAAAAACGATACCATTTTAAACTTGATCAATTCCTCAAGTAAATATTGGCTGCATAAAATATAAATTGAAGTTAGACACAAGCATCATTTATATTTAAAAATGTATTATTTCAATTTTAGAATATAAAACATGAACTGTGCAAAGTACGTTTTTATCCGAGAAGTAAAATTCGATGTTCTAAAAAAAGGGACCTGTCGTTTTTTCGATAGTAAATTATAAGTAACTTTATATATTTAATATGAAAAACATATACATTTTTACAGATTCACTTTAAGGAAGTAAGATATTATGTTTCTCGTAATTTATAAACGGAAAGAACATTCTGATTAACAATCTTTTCAATGTTTAGAAAACCTTAAATTCTACATAACTACTCCCATCCCAATCCCCATACACCAACACTTAAACTTATATGTATAGAGCAGCCCGGTCCTCCGGGCTGCAATAATGCACCAGGATCCACATTTGTCTCGGCAAGTATCTCAAGAATGTTGTTTCTTGTATTGACATCATTTCTTAAGATGTCCCATCTGTGACGTCCTCCATCGTAGGCCATGCCAACCTCTCTCGTCTTTCTTGAAGCATGTAGTCTAGTACATCACAAACTTTCCATTTTTGTCCATATTAAGAATACAGTTTTAAATTTAAAAATGTTGATTATCGTGAAAATTGTAAACTTGATAATGAAATTTCTTAACACGCCTTATTTAAATTTAATTTTTCGGTCTGAAACGCTCTCTTAAGTCGTGAAACTCTACACAAAATTTTGAAGGATTTATAAACTTTCAATTTATTATTGCTAATCTCAACAGTTATAGGCAGGGGTTTGTGCGATACTGTTGATGGCGGCGTACTAGGTTTAAGTTTTTGGAGCAATTTTCCTTTTAAATACTTCTGTGCCATCCATTTCATAGATGCATAGAACATGCTTCTATTTTGTTACAGTCAAGGTTTCAGATGCTGCAATTTCAGGTAAGAAATGGTCTGTTTAATGTTTAAGCTCAGGTTAAGATTTAAGAAGCAGTTTAAAGTGTTGGGAGCAGGTCTCATTTCTAATCGACTGTAAGTCCTATGTTTACCATACATGATACATCTAAGGATGCACACTACCAGGCTTGCTTCGGGTGCTTGATCCGAACTACATTTTCCGAACGAGCGACCAAATTATATTTTATGGAGAAGCTTCATTCTAAAGTAACTATAAACCCTACTTCGATCAAACTTTCAGGGATGGTACGTGTAATATGCATGCACAACTACTAGGCTTGCATCAAATTCTAGGATGGATGAGTGATCAGCTTAAAGTTTTGGAGCAGCTTCATTCTAAAGTAATACTATAGATCTCGAGCGTTTTCACAGATGATACATTTAAAGATGCAAACTTCTGGACTTGCTTTAGATGCTGAATCCAACCTACTTTTTTCCAGATCAGGGACTATGCACATTAAGTTTTTGGTACAAGTTTATTCTAAAGCAATCGTTTTCCGTACCTCGACCAAACTTGCATGGATCATACATCTAAGGATGAACATTACTTGACTTCCTTTGGATGCTGGATCTGACCTACATTTTCCGGATGAGTGACCAGGTTAAAGTCTTTTACTTTAGTCCATTACCAAGAAACTATAAGGCCTATCTAAACCAAACTTGCATGGGTGATGCATAAGGGGATGAACACTCTTAAACTTACTTAAGATGCTGAACTTTGATTATATTTTGCGAAAGAGCTACCGGGATAATAGTTTGAAATTTTTGGATACTTGTACAATGTATTTCTATTCCCAAGTAACTGCCAGCCCTATCACAACAAAATCACATACACGTTGTATTTTGGGACGTATACATTGCAGATTATTAGTTTAATATGCCTTACTCTAAGATAAAGTTCGCTAAGGTGAGCTCCGTTATCTCTCATTACCACCTATGTTTATGTCTCTATCAAGAACAAGTAGCAGCAAATTGGCAAATCTTTTCCATCAAGGGAGTCGCCCACGTGGCGCAGTGGTTAGAGCGTCTACTCTAGAGTCGCGAAGTAAGGAGTTGATCCTTACGTCGCAGGTTCGAATCCCACTGTGGGAGGTGGAGACCGGTCTTTCGGATGAGACCGTATAAACCGAGGTCCCGTATCGCAGTAGGTGCTGGCACGAAAATGATCCCTCCCTGCTCAATGGCGCCGAGTATAGATTAAAATTTGCAGGTCTCCATCGGCAAGTGGTGGCATCTCGATATGAGTGAAAGATTCGCGAGAAGGACGTTAAAACAATATACAATCCATCAAGGGATGTTTACTCTTCCTATGCACCTGATCCCGCCTCTGGAATTTTCATGGATCTGTGCTTCATACCCTGTTCACATTTATATATTGTTATAGTTTTTCAAAATCGAAAACTGTTTATCTTTGCCTTTCACATTTCTCCTTTTTAGCTCACCTCAACGAAGTTGGGGGAGCTTATGTGATACTCGGCGTCCCAGGTTAAGTTTTTTGGAGCAGTTTTTTAAGCACTTCTATGTTCTATATTTATTAGACATGCAATGAAGATGCTTCTAATGTATTTCATTGTACATATAATCGTTTCAGATGCGATTTCAGCAAAGGAATGACCAGATTAGTGTTTTTGGAGCATGTGAACGTGTTTGATGCAGTTTTTGGTGAAGGTTTCATTTTCAACGCACTATAAGCCGTATGTTGACCAAACTTGCATGGATGATAATCTAAGGATGCATACTACCAGGCTTGATTCGGATGCTGAATCTGACTTACATTTTCTGGACGAGTGAAAAGCTTATTTTTTATGCAGGTTTCATTTCTAAGTAACTCGTATGAGCCCTATGTTGACCAAATTTGCATGGATATAATATATCTAAGGATTCACACTAATTGACTTGCTTAATATGACTGAATATAACATACATTTCCCAGATAATGGACCAGGTGAGAGTTTTGGTTGCAGGTCTATCACCAAGAAACTATAGGGACTATATGAACCAAACTTGCACAAATGATGCATCAAGGGGTGAAAACTCTCAAACTTGCTTCAGGTGCTGGATTTGACTTACATTTTTTTTGATGGACGATTAGTTTGAAGTTTTTAGACAGGTCTATTCCAAAGTAACTGCAAGACCTATCAGATCAAAATTGCATAAATTTTCATTTTTGGATGTACACTTTTAGAATGTTGGTTAATTGTGTGGCATTGCCTTACTTAAAGACAACATTCATTGAGGTGAGCTCTGTAATCTTTGATTACGTATGTTTTTACCGAATAATTGCATTTTACATCTTGCAAAGGATATGGTGTATTTGGATAACCCGGATTCATAAACACCACAAAACTATTAATATATGAAGTCATACAAACTTAACATATTTTATTATTGTTAGTTTTTTACGGCATGTCCTTTTACAAAATGGATATGATAAATAATATGTTATAATAAAAAAAAATTCAACGAGATAAATGATAAGAAACAGGCATTCTGGTAGAAAGAAAGAATAATCTTTTTAAAAAGTTAACAAATATCTTGTCCACAATGGACTTCTCTACGGACTACATTATGCTATAAATGTTTTAAACAACTCAGATCCGTCATTTATTCTTGAAACAGAAAGTGATATTCTTTTGAGGCAGTTTTATTCCTTTCACTTTCGTAGCCAGGGCATGCGCACAATTTTGTTGCTATCTGGGAACTCGTAGCGGGTTTGGTATTCTGTGCTGTGGCTTTCGTAAGTCGTCTCCCCTAGTGGTCGTCCGTGCAAAAGGAAATTCGGCTTCGGGTTAATGTTAAAGTCACTTGTGGGTATATCCATGGGCGGGGTCTGGTATTTGTGCATATACTCGGTTCGTCCGGGGAAGGTGGTGTTTATTCCGGCCTGTTCCTGGACGGACAGCGTAACGGGGGCTTTCTTGGTGCTCATTTTCAAAGTACTAGAATCGTCTTTTGACGTGGTGTTGAATGCGTTCTTATGCTTGAGGTCCAAAAGACCGTTGTTTTGTGTAGCAGTAGGGTCGATGTAAAATGTATTACTCCGCGGGTAAAGACTATCAATGGTTTGGTAACCTGAAAAAAAAAATGAAATTTAGTTAACATTCGATGGTGATTGAATAAACTTATATAGCAACGGCACCGCAAGTTACGAAAAGGAATCCATTTCGAAGAAAAGGCCGCAAACAAGGCCAGAACAACCCCTTCTCTATGACATTTTTTTTCTCGTTTATTCAAGAAAATAAAGGAAGAGTACGTGAAAAGGATGATATTGACAAACAGCCTGGTATTTTGAAAAAAAAACAACAAACTTTTCTTGAACTATAAGAAATCTTTGAGAAATCTTCTCTATGAGCAGGGCATTGTCCTCGCCTTGTACGCCTCCATTCTTTGCACTGGAGAATAGGGTATTATATAAATTGGTATTATAATATATTATAACTATCAATGTGCGATTTTTTTTTAAGTTAAGATAACTTGCTTAATTATTACGATTCACAGCTATAAGCTTTACATTTTTTACACTGTATCTCCTTCTACAGATTTTTGTGTTGGAATTTAAATATATTGTTTTCGAGTTTTCTTTAACATATAATCATATGCATTTTAATCTCTAGCATAAATGTGTAGGGTTGCAACACAGGTACTTGTGGACAGGACCACCCCCCCCCCCCTCGATATTCAACCCCGGGGGTTATTGGACATTTTTTTCAGAAATTATATTTATTACACTTATTCATCATGTGTATAATATGAAAAAATTCGTCAAAACCCCAAAACAATCGCTCCACAAAAAAAAATACCCCACTATACATTATAAGGGAGAAAGGTATGCCACTCCGGTTTGTTTACGTTGTACCCCCACTGGTCTTTCTGGGTTTAAAAACATGTATTTATTTTATTTCAACCTAAAATGTCGATTCACATCGTCTCTACATATATTTCTGTCTTAGTCCATGCTATCGGGTTAACTCTGCATCTCGTAAGAATCCCACAATATCTCCTTCGACAGCATTCGTTGAATTTCCCTTAGTAAAAGCAACGGAAGTGCACCGGGAATGTTTCACTTCTTAGGATAACGTCCGAGAGAGTTTTGGCCTGACGTAATAATTTCTCTCGGGTGTTATCATACATTCTCTATGCACTTCCGTTGCTTTTACTGAGGGAAATTTCAAATAATGCTGTCGAAGGAGATATTGTGGGATTCTTACGAGATGCAGAGTTAACCCGATAGCATGGACTAAGACAGAAATATATGTAGAGACAATGTAAATCGACGTTTTAGGTTGAAATAAAATAAATACATGTTTTTAAACCCAGAAAGACCAGTGGGGTATAACGTAAACAAACCGGAGTGGCATACCTTTCTCCCTTATAATGTATAGTTGGGTATTTTTTTGTGGAGCGATTGTTTTGGGGTTTTGACGATTTTTTTATATTGTACACATGATGAATAAGTGTAATAAATATAATTTGTGAAAAAAATGTTCAATAAGCCCCGGGGTTGAATATCCGGGGGGGGGGGGCATGGGCCCAGCAGGCACGCAACGTTGTTTCAACGTTGAAAGGAGGTGGAATATAGGTTGCAACGTTGATCAACTATATTTCAACGTTGTTTCAACGTTGAGGTTTCAATGTTGAATCTTCAACCTTTTTTCAACGTTGAAACAACGTTGAAGCTGCAACATATTTTCAACGTTGAACGTTCGTCGATATTTCAACGTTGAAACAACGTTGAGGCTGCAACATATTTTCAACTTTGAATGTTCGTCGATATTTCAACGTTGAAACAACGTTGAAGCTGCAACATATTCTCAACGTTGAATGTTCGTCTATATTTCAACGTAGAAACAACGTTGAAGATGCAACATATTTTCAACGTTGAATGCTCGTCGATATTCAACGTTGAAACAACGTTGAAGATTCAACATGTTTTCAACGCTGAGTATTTTCTGATATTGTAGAGTTAAAACAAGGTTTAAAAATGGAAAGTTGACCGTCTTTTGATTTCAACGTTGAAACAACGTGGAAGATGCAACATATTTTCAACTTTAGGAAAGTTCGGAAAATTTAACGTTGAAACAACGGGTAACAAGTATTGAGCACTTTAGTTTTTAAGTTCAAGATATAAAGGTGTCTTTAAATTCTAATCCATGCGATTTTTCGCAATATACACACAGCTGTATGCATTGTTAGAAAATATTATATATATAATAATTATACTTACTAAATGAAACGCATGCATTATAAATTGACTTACTCAAAAGAGTTATGCCAATAGCTAGTACCATTGTAAAATTTTTAATATGAGTTTATATGAACCATGGCATCTACATTTATCGCTTCATTATAATTATTTTCAAAAAAGGTTGTTGTTTTTTTTTTAAATAAATTGTGAATGCAGTTTTTCTTTTCTGCATATTTATAAAATATGTTAAATATAAGCTTTTAATAAATAATAACATTTTTATCCAACATCTCACTGTAATTCCATGTTACTCGAGAATAAAAATAATTATTCCGAATTAATTAATGTTCTTATAATAAGACTCATATGGACCCGTGCCGTATACTCTTGCGCAGATTATACGTATACAGAGCGAATTTAAGAAGTCTTATTTTATTAAATTGTGCTTTTGTTGTGTGTATTAATTCTATAGGCATTCTTTTCACAAAATATAAAAAAATTCAAATAAACACATAAGAATTTTCACACTGACAATTAACCTCGGTCAAGTTGCATTACTTAAGATCCACTCCCCCAAAACCTTCGAGATATCAGATAAGGAGTGCCTCTCTCTTAGTTGGTCAGTTTCAGTGTCAGGATAACCTTGTTATGCAATTTTCTTGCTGGGCAGAGTATAGCTGTTTGCAGCTTATCTAGGTCAAAATTTGAATTCAACTGATGGACAAGAAGTGCGCGTCTTCTAGCTGTTCATATTTAATGAGTTTTCAAGCTATATCCACAAGGATTAAGGCTGGAATATCAACTTCTGCTCAGTAAGTATTTTTCCTTTTCATGAATTTACGAAATTAAGTTTTTTTAGTATCTGTTCATCATTTAATTCTTGTTTTATTAGTATATTTGAAATCTGCTTGAAATGCACATCCTTGGTTAGTGTATTATGTGTTTTGTTGATAATCATTTGGTTATGAAATATAAGCTGGTATACTAATATATTATACAATTTAACTAATTGTAGTTCGTCGTAAGGTTCAATCAACCAGTGGTGCAGGGAATTGATTGTATAGTCATGCAGCCTTGATTGCATCAGATTCTTCGCCCGTGAAAATTGTACAAAGGAATGCAACATTTTGTAAGTACACTATGTATATGTTTGTCTATAACATTTTTCTTTAGTAATAATTATTGATAAGCATACTCATACGAATTTTAACATGAAGTCAACTTTAATTCTTTTAATCATGTTAATTAAATCCAAGTACCGGAATATATTTCTTTGCCTGCTTTTTTAAATCATCATGTATATTTATTTTTATCATTTGAAATAACGTGTTACGTACATTTTATCGAACAAATGGCTTTAACATCTTTATTTTTTTATCGATAGGCTTTTGCTTTAGAGGGTGGATTCTCCTGTTCATTTCTTTCATTCGTTGGACTTAACTCTATGCTTGATTAAAATCAATGGATCCGCCACTTTGTGGAACTAAGTAGTGTAAGGCAGACGCGTACTTTGAAGGACCTGGATGTGATTACTGTGACCCACTTTTCACTAGGAATATAAAATTTGTCAAGCAGTGATTTTTGAGGATCAGTGATTGAATCCTAATTTGTGTTTGTCTTAAAAAAACATGTAAAATAAATTCTCTTACAATCATAATACTAGATCACAACTTATATAAATATTACGCAACTTGAATAAAATTTTTTATTAGAATTTGAAATGTATTTGTTAAAAAAGCAAAATGTAATATGAATTCAACGTGATTTCAACCAAATATCAACGTTTGTACAACTGAAAAATTTCAACCAAAACTCAACCTAAATTCAACCAATGTTCATTTTTGTTCAATGTTGATATTTGACGTTGAAACAACGTTGAAGCTTCAACGTTGCCTCAACTTTCATTTGCAACCAAAAATCAACCATAAATCAACCAAAAATTCAACCCATTTTCAACGTTTATTCAACGTTGAAAATTGACGTTGAAACAACGTTATGTCTCAACGTTGCCTCAACTTTCATATGCAACCAAAATTCAACGTTGATTCAACGTTGAAGTGCAACGTTGATTCAACGTTGAATCAACGTTGAAATGCCTGCTGGGGGGGGTCCTGTCCACAAGTACCTATGGGTTGCAAGAGTACTTTCAAACAGGCAGTTTAGATTCACGTGATCCGTAGAAAACTGTATGCGAGTCCAAGACAATTTTGCGTATATTCGAGGCAATTATCACAGAAAAATAATCTATAGTGTTTTGATAATGAACAAAGTACCATAAATGATGCATGTCACTAGGTTAGTTTAATATGATGAGTTTGATTTGCTTCAACAAATAAATACTTTTTTTAATTTTAAAGTGCATGGTCGTAGTTGTACCCCCCCCCCAAAAAAAAAAATCGGATGGCGTTGCATATTAAATATGAGATATACAGCGATATCATTTCTTGTGAAGAAATTGTTTAAATCTTATAAATGTACACAAAAATAAAATTGCTAAGGAAGAATAATTTGAAAAATGTTAGCATGAATAATTTTAAATAATAACACAATCCTCTCTTTGTTTTTGCAAAATGATAATTTCTGAATTTCGGACCAGTATAATTTTCCATACACAAGCAAAGGAACAGGACTAGAGAAGGACTTAATGAGATAACATATATAGTACTGCACAGACAAGGGAAAAAAATGCAAGACGATATTGATCGGTTTTCAACCTGTGATCAATATCACTATCTAGAATATTCCCGAATCGCTATTGAATCTAAATCGAAGAATTATCAACTAATACACTAGAACTGCTTTATTTGAAATATTAAAAAGATAAATTAGAATATACCCTCTAAGCCTAAAAGTGAAAACTCTTACCGTATCATAGTCCTCCCGAACGACAGTCCGACGTAACTAAGCAGGTACGATTTGGTATAAAAGTTTAATGCGTTTATTTAATCACCTTGGCCCTTTTGTTCTATGTCTTTTGTGAAACAAACAATACCCATACGCTTCAATGCAAGGTTTTAAACCTCCGGTTTAAGACCTTCATAATTTGCTATGAATGTGTTTTAATTTAGTTTTTTCTCGATATTAAAATGGATTTAATCTTTGCATGAGTTATACACTTAAGTGCAGAATGTATATATCTGATTGATAGTCACTAGATATAAATGAGAATTTAAGATATGTTTAAATAGTTGTATGATAAGTGTAGCTGGATGGAATTATTTACAATTTCTGTTTATCTATCCACTTTATCCATGAAAATGGAAGTTCACGACAGACCAATTCAAAGTTTATTTACTTTTTAAAACTTGGTTGAAAGCGAGGTAAAGTGTTATTTTCAGAAGTGACTAATAAGTCTTGATTAGAAGTGTTACAAAATGGAACAAAAGTGAAAGTTCCAATTTATAGATTATATGTAAAATATTTTGGACTATAGGCTCCTAAAAACTATAGAGATTTAGGTGTAATATCCTCAATACTCGGTTTACAAAATACTAACTACTGATTTTGCGTTCAGTCGGCAGTGTACGTTCCTCCAAATTTGACTTTGCTGGCTACTAATTAAGTATATTCTAACATCTGCTGTTGCGTTTAGCCAGCAATGTGCACTTTTATGACTATATGCTAACATCTGATGTTGCGTTTAGCCGCCTGTGTGCACCCAAATCTGACTTAGCTGACTATATCCTAACCTCTAATGTTGCATTTGACCGCAGTTTCAATCTGCATGGCTCGGTTGGCAATGTACATACCTCTGTTGACCGATAGTGTACATACTAAATCAAACCTGACTTACTACATACTAAACTCTAATGTTGCGTTTGATCGGAAGTTTGCACCCAAATTTAACTTGGCTTACAATATACTAACCTCTAATGTTGCGTTTGGCGGGAAGTGTGCACCCAAATTTAACTTGGCTTTCAATATACTAACCTCTAATGTTGCGTTTGGCGGGAAGTGTGCACCCAAATTTAACTTGGCTTTCAATATACTAACCTCTAATGTTGCGTTTGGCGGGAAGTGTGCACCCGAATCTGACTCGGCTCTGGAGGACTTCGGAGGGTTCCCCATAATACACGGAGGATGTAGTCCTTGGCTCAAATGCTAGGGAAAATACAAATCAGTAATGAAAAAAGTATTGATAAATGAGATGAATAATTACTTAAAATACAAGTCACTTTAATTTATAAAGAGTGGAAGGCGAGTGTTAACTTTTATACATATATTTTTTTTTTTTATATTTTCATATAATAATTCTATTCCACCACTTGTAAAACACCTCTTTTGTAGTTTTGTTTTGTAAGTTTTGTAGGTTTCTAAACTACCGGTATATCTGTGCTAAACTAACGGTGATATCTAGTCTAAAAATTCTAAATTTTTCGGTGTCGTCTGATCTTAAGATTATATTCGCTCATATACCGGAAAAAATGTACATTTAACTTTTAATTTTATACATTTAATTTTACAAAAGATGTTAAGTATTCTTGCATTTAATAATTTTCGTACACTTAGTTTTTGACCCATCACCAAAAGCCATTTTCAAACGAATTCAAATCGTTTTAGTTAGGTCCTCCTGTTTGCTGCTAGCTTGTCCATTCAATAAAATGCAGGTCCTACATACGTTTTGTCGTTTATCTTTTTGTGTCAGAGCAATGTAGTATGATGTATAATCAAGATAATAAACCGAGTATTTAAATCTTCTTGTCAATGAATGCATTTTTCAATAGAAATATTTATTTAAAATAGAAAGAAAAGTTAACTTATTCTACATGTAGAAGTTATTACAGCTATGATTTTTATGATTAAGAAACAAAAAAAAAAATATTTTATACTAATACCGAAATACAAGCTTCTATATATAAGAAAAGTACAATACATGTAAAGAAGAGTAAATTACATTCTCTTAAATATATATATTTTTCATGTTATAACAATGTAGATTTATTCTTATTCAGGCATAGAGTATTGGCGCGTGGGGGTGGGGGGTGAACTCCATTTTTTGTTGCATCATATTGAACCCTTACCCCACCAAATAAGGAAAAGAATTTTCTGAACTAGGGCAATTTTTTACTTGTCAATTCTTTTTTCAGGCCAATTGTCCCCCTTCTCAAAACCTCTAGTATGTGTGTTTACTTTTACATTCATCTTAATCTGACTACTTTTGACTTTAGAATACTATATTACCTTTTTTGTGCTGATTATTAATCAGCAGGCCATAGGAAGGAAAAGGGGGGAGACAGCCATATATTTATAACCCCCTCTTGAAAAGTGGGAGGGTATACTGTAATCTGTATGTCCGTCGTCTACCTGTACGTCCGTCCGTCTGTTATATGCTTTAGGGTACCCATCTCTTCTCCGCAACTTCTCTTATACCACTGAGTGAAATTTAATGAAACTTTCACAGAATCTTTATTACATATTGCCATTGTGCATCTCCTATTTTACTTTTTGATCACCACACATATTTTGGGTTTCCCGGCCACAGCAAAACATGGACTTTGTCATCAGTTATAATCATATGGGAGGCAGGGGGTATCATTTAGTGAGCTCACTGCGCACAGTACCTCTAGTTTCAGTGTTGGGCACTATACAAAAATTCTTAAACAAGCAAAAAAAAGGTCACCAGACATTTATTTTAAGAAGGCCTGAGCATATACAGAGTGTAGTTTCTATATTTTCTTTAATATATAATATATATTGGTAAAATTTTTCAAAAGGAAACATACCCCCCCCCCTTTCATATGTAAATATTTGAGAAAAAATGTGAATTAAGAATGGTGTTACATTCATTGAATTCAATCACTGCAAAACAAACAATTACTTCAATTCTTTCACAATTTATCATTACCATTTGATTCACCTGAAATTTCATGTACCATTAAAGACATGTATAAAAGAACGAAGCAACATTATTCTCAAAGTATTGTTTTCCAAGTTAGCTATTTTAAAATGGGGACAATTTCAAACTGGGCGTATAAGAACATTATCTACAATAAATTCTTAACTACATTTAAAAAAAAAAACGCTCTTAAATATCAAAGATTCAATTCTTAATTGACAAGAGATGAATAAGATGTAAAATTTTAGCTGATTCTGTTTGTTAAAAGAGAGACTGTACTCTAAAAAATATTATTAATAGCTTTAAACATTGCACCTTATCACTTGTTATTATTGTATTTTTTTAACCCCTCAACCCCACCCCACCCCCTTTTCAACAGAAATTATTTTTGAATTAAATTTATAATTAAAAAATAGATAAACAAATGAATAATAAATATTTTCTTTTTAAAATTGAAAGCATTCCATAAACAAGGTGAGTTTTGTTTAAAAAGACAATGAAAACAAACAATTCTGAAACTTTGATAATTCTAGGGTGCTCAATTAGACTACTAAATATTAATTAAGAATGTAAATAGGACCCAGGATTAGTGTACATGTAATGGAACTGATAGACTACAAACCTGTCCAAGGCCTGCGGGAGTTGAGGGTGTTGATGTACTCGGTGCGCTGGGTCTTGTCGACCCACTTTGGTTCCATTCTGACTGGTTCCCTTGACCCGCGGGTCAGGTTGTTACGGTAACCTGTATATCTGTCTGTCACTCCCACAAAATCTCCAAACTGTTTGATACGGTCTGCAGCATTGTAAGTGGAAGTGTCCAAGGCCTGTCAAGGAATTAAAACTCTGAATATTTTGCAAAAAAATCAGTCACTTCAGGAATATATGTTCAATTTCAATACTTTTTCAAAAAAACTTTTCTACTCTGAAACTTTTTTGTTTATATTCTATGATCCCTTGCTGATGGGATTCACAAAGATTCTTTCAAATTCAATTTTTAAAAGGTGGTGTTATTGTATTTATATACTTTTTTTCAAAGTTGACAAGAAATCCACAAATAATATAGCCCCTGGTGTAAGTTTTTGTAAAGTTTCTATAGTGTGTCAAGGGAAATAACTCTTCAGTCAGTCATAGAGATGCACAAGCATGTAGGCCATTGTAGGTTAATACTGCTTGAAGATATTATGTTTATGTCCCTCATATAAATCAACCTTAGGGAGTTTATCAGTTATCAAATACGTCACTTCACACTTTTACTGGCCATAAAAAAGCCAGGAAAGATTTAAAACCTTAACATTACTGTTGGCGCTATAGCTATAAATTCAAGAGCATAAAATAAAAAAAAATCATGCCCAATAATGCAGCTAGAGAATGCATAACACTTTAATATTTAAAAAAAAATTAGGAAAAAGAGAAGATTTCAAATAGTACTCAGTTGGAAAGTGTTCATAAATTTTATATGGGCATACATGTATATCAATTGCAACATTGTTTAATTACAACATTAAGAGAAAAACACTTGTACATTAGCTACTATATAAACATATATGAATTTAATGAATGAAATTGCAAATGGAACCGAATTTGTCCTAACTTATATACAAAGATTCTGCAAGTTGTGTGTTAAGATATGATTTACAAGGTATTATTAACATTGCAATAGATCAACAACATTGCACACATCAAAGTTGCAACAACTGACTTCAAAGCATATTCCCTCTGTTCTGGACTCTTGCTTAGCCTCTAATTAAGCTTGATCAGGCTACTAGGTAATATGATACAAGAAAGCTAATTTGGATCCTCCTTGGAAGAAGATTTAAGTTCAAGAATTTTATAGCATATTATCAAAATATGTGTGATCACAGCAAAAATCAAAAACATTCTGCAGAAAAAAATCTTAAGTTTTGTTTCACTCAGCAAGAATTCATTATTTGTATTTTCATATTGTATATGAATGTACTAATTAGCACTTAACCAGTATTAATGCAGAGCGAAATACAAAACATTGATACAATGTAAATTCAACATTTGGAGCTGACTTGTAATGCTCTTACAAAGAGAAATCTGTGCATGGTTCAATCTTGTGATGCTAACTAGACATTGTAGCAATATTGTTAACAATCACTTAAAATAAAGCTGTCAAAACATTCTCAGTGCTGCATCTCAAAACTTGTGTATCGGTGTTCTCTTGTGCACAAGTGGGAACTGTTACCTTATATTGGACCAAGAATCACTGGAATTCAAGTTAGATTCTCTTTTATCATAACTTTATGAGCTATCATATTAAGTTTTAGTTTTTTTTCTTGAGAGAATATAATTTGACCATACATATAAACTTATTTGGTCATAATTCAAAGACTTATAGCTGTAATAAATAACCTTAATTAAATATGTCCTGGAAAGTACCTAATTACAGGAATATTCATGTTTCACATTCTACACACTTGGTAACACAGGCCTCCAAAAATAATATTTGACTCTTATAAGTATGTTAAGGGTTGGCCATTCTGAATTATTTTCTATGTTTAGCATCCAAGAACAGATTGGTTTTGAGGTTATGAAATTAAAAACAAACACAGCATTTAAAAAGTTATCTTCGAATTTAGGGTGGATGCTAAATGAGGAAAAAAACTTGGAATGGCGAATTACATATATGTATTACATCTTTCACCTGTAACACCTGACAGGTATGTATAACTCACCTGCTGGATCCCCCGGAGGTTGTCCATCCCCCACTGGTGAAGCTCCCGCACCTGGTTCTCCTGTTTGTCTCGTAACGAGTTGACATGAAGTCGAGATTTGAGGTCCTTGATGTACCCTGCTGCATTAGCCAGATTGTCTGCTGGTCCTGAATTAGATTATAAATGGAATAATTTTTACTAAATATACATGTA